ATATCACCTCTTGTCAAACAAGCAAGCCGCCTGGATATATTGACGGCTCATTCATTCGCCTGGCAGGCAGCGGATAGGTTCCTTCGCACTGCATCTCTGGCCCGAGAGTGGAATCGAGATCGTCCATCCTCCCTGTGTGACAGAAACGGGTGACAAGTCTCCCTTCCAACCAGCGATTCTTTGCGATTCTACTTACCCGCTTCTGATCTGGGGCGACTTTCCTCTCAACCTCTTCATCTTTTCCAGCATCGCGTAACGCCTGAATCTGGTAGGGACCAACTCATTCCATTTCAAATCACTTTGCTCGTCACCGCACCACATCTTGGGTTATCTGGAGCTTGTGGCGATTCGATACTCGTCACATTCCTCGTTCCGTATCCTCCGAGCGCCCTCCGTCGCGTCCAGTTTCACCCAGTTCCCGCAGATCCTTACTACCACAGCATCGGTTTCATTCATGGCACTATACTCTGGAGCTATGTCGTCTCTTTGCCTGGTCCATCCTTGAGGATGCTGCTACGCCGCAACATCATCCGGATTGCCTCTCGCATTTTAGAACTTGCAGTCTCGTTTTAATCTACAGGATGCCTTCTACTCCAGCTCCAGTCAGCATGCTGGGAAAGCTGTTCAGTATCGGTTCGGGCGCTCCTGGGGATGACCAGGATCCTCATTCAGCGCACCCATCGAAGCCCGTGGCTTTTCTCGACTCCGTCCAGGAGGACATTCACACCCGCAGCTTATTATTTCCCGATACACATTCCCTTTACGTCCATCGCAATGACCAAGTCTTTCCTTTGTCGACAACCCCCTTGTTGCCGGTAGCATCCATGACGAACGCGTTTGACTACAATGGCGAACTAGATTTAGAAGCCCGTGATGTGCGGGTCCTGATTATGCAGGACGCCTTTTTTTCATCAAACGCTTCTCTTCTCTTCGACAGCCATCCTTGCCCCGTCCCCCCATCTCCCCCTCCTGCGGTCGTTCATGACCAGCGTCGAGCTCCGACATCTCCCAGGAAATCGAGTATCGGGCAATCATCTCGCCCCTTAGTTATCCAGCAGGACAACCCCCATCTCCGTCAGGGCGCGTTCGACCGCCGAGGCGACCCCCAAAACCGAATCTACTCGTTTGCGGAAACCGATAGTCAACGAGCGGCTCGGGAGTACCGGGAAGAGCTGGCCACTTTTACGAGCTGCATCTTCGGCAGCTCTGAACTTATGGCCTACAAAGGCACTTCTACCAAAGTCCATGTAGTGCCAACGGAGTCTAGGTTCACTGATTACTCCACATCCTCCGTAACAGACGGCCGAGGTTCAGTCGGCCGGGCCAGCATGAGATCAAGCAGGCTGGCTCAGTCGTACTCATCCGAAATCATGTCGCCAACACACGCCCCCGCGTCGTTTGCTACCTCGCAGCTAGCCTTCCGTCCACCAGACCGAAGGAAGATTCTGATCACTCGGCTCTTTCCCGTGGTTCTCCCCTCTGATAATGAGGCGAGTACAGGCCAAGGGCCGGCACCTAACGAGGGCCGCGGAGCCGAAGACGCTGCCTCTCAGAAGAGGAAACCTGCTCAGCCGCGTCAAAAGCGGACTCCCATGTACGCTGTGGTTCTAGTAATCCAACTGCCAGCCTCATCTACATCGGCCCCCAAGTCAATGTTCCGAGGCTCTAGTTCATTAACCGACCAGGAATCGTTCCCGTCCTCGTATAACTCGACTAGGCGCTCTGGATGGACAATGGTGGGCTCAGGAAACGATTCTTTGGACTCCTCGTTACCGTTTGAGGGAGAAGACCAGATGGATTATATCACCCAGCATTGGGACATAATTATGAGAACTCTTACTCACCTCCAGTCCGTCGTCGCGACCACACTCGGGCGCTTACTGAAGCAGGTCGATCGGACGTCTTCTGGGCCTTATCCCAGCGCACCACAGCACGTTGCTAGGCCATCTTCTCTCTCTTCCCGGAGACCGGATGATCAGCAATACTCTAAGCCGCCAAAGACGAACTCAAAGATCATCACGCTACAGCCTAATGCTCTGTCGCAGGACCAGATTATTCACCAACATACGCAGGTTGCGAGGATTCGGATCGTTACCGGATTGAAGGCTGCTAGAGTTGTCACTGGCCAAGGTCGTTGGGGTATATGGCGGGATGAAGCCAGGCTAGCTTCCCGAAGTTTCGGAACAGAGGACCAGCGCTTTCTCCTGACTTCTCTGACTGGGTTCTTAGCTACTCACACGGATTGGTTGCAGGCCCTGAGCCCTGCCTGGTGCCGGAAGCGGTTCCTACAGCAGCAGAAATCTGGTGATGAGGAAGACCTGTCTGTTTCTGCTCGAACCATCATTGTATCGGAAGACAAAATGCTTGCGCGCCGATTCATTTTCCTTCTCTCTGCCTTTTTGCCGGCCCACCAGTCCGTGCCTGCCATTCACCCCCATCGTCCGAGTACTTCCACTTCGTTCGGACCGCTCTCGCAATCGCCGCCCTCCGTTATTGTCCCTATTGTAAGAGAAGAGTCTCTGCGTCGCAAGATGACTCGTCGATCGGGTCCGAGAAGAGTTTCCCATTCCCGAACCGTCAGTCAGAGTACGCGAGCTTCGATACCAACTCAACTGGCCCACCTCAGCATGGAAGGCCACCATGAGCGACGAAGCTCCGATGCCGCCTCCATCCGCACGACTAATATATCGATGCCTTATGGCGACTTTGCGAGTCAGAGGAGTGTAGCTGCTACCACCACGACTATTTCCTCGGATTCTACAGTCCCGCATTTCTCGACCGTGTACCGCACGGATAGCCGAAGGGGTGTTCGGCCGGGGAGCAGTAGCAGTGTTGCTGTAGATGATCTCAGACGCTCGCTTCAGAGGGGAGATAGCGTAGGACAGGCCAGCACGGCAAGCAACGAGTCCAGAAATCAGGGCCTGAAATGGGGAAGCGTCATTAGTGGGCTCTGGAGCGGAACTCGGAGACGGGACTCGACCAACACTCTAGGTGAAGGAGGATTTCGACCTCCAGTCAGTCCGGGGTTCGATATGCCCTCCCCATCGAAGCCATCGCAGTCAAGCATCGATCGGTCGAGTAGATCTAGAACAGTGGCGGAAATGGCGCAGGAACTTTCCCTTCCTGATCCGAGTATTCAGGATCACCAGAGACCGAGAGGTGACGAACCGGAGACACCACGGGGAACGCGGCTCGATCGTTCTACCGACAGCGAGGAGGCAACGGTTCAGCCTAGACGATGGCCAGAGCCTGGTGCAAGTTTCGAATCCACGGTGAAGACAACCGTCAATCACGAGGACGGAGTGGTCGATGTCGATGTACCATTCCCGGATTTTCTCACGAATCCCCACTCCTTCGACACAGCCGTCAGCTCTCCTTCAAGCAGCGGCTATCTCTCGACTCCAGGATTAGGGACGGTCATGGATACCTTCGAACAGGCCTGCAGGCTCGCGTTGGAAGGTGACATGCCCTTGAACAGTGCTGGCTGGCTCCAGGCGTATCATCCAGACTTCGCCTTGCAGGCCATTCCACCGAACCGAAACCTCATCAAAGACGTCAAAGCCTCGCTGAAGGCAGAACCATCCCCACGCGTGATCCGCACTTCCGCAGACGACTCCGACAATAAATGGGTTGACGTTAGTAGCGCCATTATTGCGGATATGACCACCGGTAAAGTTACGAGAATCCGATACAGACGGCTGATTAAACCTAAGCAAACGATCCAGAGATCGCCCGGGCCTGGGGGCGTCTATAGTGGCGCACCCCTAACACCTTCTATCCTCCCGTACGAAACTACGCTGGAGGAGGAGTTTATTGAGGATGAAATTACTGTTATCGATGATAACCTGGCCGACGCCGTTGAACGTGTGGTCGCACATATCGGCGACGCAAGCAAGGCGGCATCTTCCAGCTCGTCGCGATCGAATAGCAAAGCCCGCCGACCTAGTAGATCACCTCCATCCGAGGAAGCTGTTATCGATGATGCGCCGGGTACACCAACAGTTTCGAACGAAGTGCCTCGAAACGAATGCAGAACTGTGATCTTGTCTGCTCTTGCAGATATCATCCAAGACGTCTTAGAAAGGCGGAACGAAGAGCCTAAAGGGGGTGTGGCTGAGGATGAAAGCGCAATTCGGAGTGCGGTGAGAAGCTGGTTAGAGAGCCTAGACTTGGGAAGTGAGTAGAGTCCAAGGAAATGGTGCTTTGCAACCACTGTCCTGCAGTCACTCTATCAGCAGTTTTATCACACCCTGCCCTCTCCCTCGATTACCATTTGCCTCACTGCTTGATTTCACTGCTTGATTTTTGTATTCCTACCAATTGTTTGATTTTATTCCATTTCGAAGTTAGCGATGTTGACTTGATACCCATGGTCTAGCTTGCCCTATGTTTGCTATATATCATGTTTCCCTTTTCCGCCCTCACTGCATTTCCTCTGTCCCCCTCCCCCCCTTCCTTCCCCTTCATTACTGAGGAGCTCAAGTTTCAGATCCGGCATCTACTGTCTCTAGACAAGGGATAAATTTTATAGGTGGCGCTCTTTGTGCTATCTCTCACCCAATTATCTCTCACTCAATCCTTACAATTTCCCTTGACTTCCCTTTTTTCCGTTTCCGTATCTTTCCCTCTTTCTTTCTTTGCTTTTTTTTTCGTTTCCGCAGGGGAGGGGGTGCTTCCACTATTTCCTCTTTCCTTCTCTCTTTTGTCTACTTTTTTATCATGGTTCGGGCAGGAGTACATTGAATAGACGGCTGGGATCTATACACGGGATTGTTGCAATTGATTTATACGGAGGCTACTCCTCGAGGATGGGTCAAACATGGAGCATCTAGAACTTGTTTTCTTTCGAATACAAATCATACTTGTCTCTGAACTGTCACTAGTTTCATTGCTGCATGTGAAAACCGATTGTTTCGTGGGCAGTCTTGGCTCAGCATCGTAGACGGAACTGGTACAGTGACTATATCCAACTCATGATGCGCTATTCGGGCTTTTCGCTTCTACTTCTTCTTCGCAGGTCTCGCGTTCTTCTGACGCCTCCTTTCCTTCTCCTTCCTCGCCTTCCTAATCCCATCAAGACCCTTAATCTCCCGCTTGCTTCCCCCGCCATCCTTAAACCTACCAATCCTCTTCTCGCGCGCCTCTTCGACCCTCTTCTTCCGCACCTCATAATCATCGCGATACTTATCGGCCTCCTTAGGCGCCTTCTCCTGCCTATGCTTAAACCTCCTCCCATCACCACCACCACCCGAATTAGCATCCCCAACCCCACGAACAAGACTCGTCTTCTCCGCATCGCCGACCCTCGGCAACCCCGCAAGCCTATGCGCCTTCTTCCACTTCTCGAACCGTCCACTCTGGAAGCTAGCGGCGATCTTGACGCCGCTCTCACCAACGATCATGCGCGCGCCCTTAGAGCCGTCCGAGTCGTTGAGCCGCGACACGTACTTCTTGCTCTTCTTGTCCCAGCGCATCATGCCGCGGCGGGCGGGCACACCGAACGACTTGGCCGTCTCGTCGTTGGTGAGGTCCATGGCTGCGTCGCGGGCGGCGAGGACGAAGTTGGCGCCGTTGCTGTTGCCCGGGCCGTTGATCTGGGAGCCGGAGTGCACGCCGTAGGCGCGTTCGGCGTCCATGTTTGTGGTGCGGGGGCGGTAGGACATGAAGATTTCGGGGTCTTGGAAGGAGGTTGTTTGGGAGCGGTTCTTCTTTTCTTGTTTGGAGGTGGAGATTGTTACTTCGAGGTCGTCTGAGGAGTCGGAGTTGTAGCCCGTCGCGGCGGGGCCTTCGTCTTCTTCCGAGTCGTCGTCCTTCTCGTCCACGTCCATTTCTTCGCCGTCGTGGTCTTTGTCGTCTTCGTCCACGTCATCCTTCTCCTCCTTCTTCGACCTGCGAGGTCCCGCCCTCTTCCTCATTTGTCTCATGACTTCAGCGGCCTCGTTGCTAACAGATTTAGCTCCTCGTCCAATCTCGAATATAGTCTCGGATGGCTTGAACGAGCTAATGGAGGCGAGCATTTTCGAGTACGCCTCCTCGTCGGGCCGGATTCCGAACTTCATGTTCAGCTGGGACCACGCCTCGGAACCGACAAGTTCACGCGCTCGCTTCGCGCTCTCGCTCGCCGCCGAGTTCCTCGTCTTCATGTAAAGTTTCTCCGCCTTATCGGCCACGCGGCGGATCGACGCCATATCGACGCTCTCTCGGAGGACCTTGTCGAGCCATTCGACGTGCTGCTCCATATCAGCTCGAGGCAACGCGCCGACAACTACGTCTTGAGTAAACGACGCCGACGCATCCTGACCGACGACGAGCTTCCTGCCGAGGAAGAGCTGCAGATCGACGAGGTAAGGGGCATCGACATCCCTCACGAGACTGTAGCTCCAACCTTGCTGCCCCGCACGAGCAGTTCGACCGACGCGGTGGACGAAAATCTTGGGCTGGGGAGGGAAATCGTAGTTGATGACGTTTTGCAAAACGGGAATGTCGATACCACGGGCAGCGACGTCGGTGACGACAAGGATGTTGGTCCGTCCGCGGCGGAAGTCCTCGACCTGAATCCGGCGGGCCTCCTGGTCGAGGGATCCGAAAACGAAGGAGACGGCGAAACCGGCGTGTTCGAGCAGGCTCGCGAGGTATTCGACGCGGTGCTTCGTGGCGGCGAATACGATGGTGGAGTGCTCCGTCGGTTTGCCCGAGCCGCCCTGGTCTCCGCCGCGCTTCCGTTTCTTCGAGGGACCCATCTCGAAGCCTCTCACACCCTCGGGAAGACCTAGTGGCATTTTAATCACGTCGTGTAGTATGTAGAGTAGCGCACCCTCCTTGTCGGCCGCTTTGATCGAGAAGAAGGCGTTGTGAAGATCTGGTGAAATCTTGGTTTCCGCGTCGAGACGCACAAGCTCTGGATCTTGAAGGCCCGCATGGGCGAATTCCACCAGCGAGGCGGGTAGGGTTGCGGAGAAGAGGAGTGTCTGACGCGAGGGCGGGAGAGCGTGCAAAATCTCGGTGAGCTGGGTAGCGAAACCCATTTCGAACAGTCGATCGGCTTCGTCGAAGACCACGTACTTGACAGAGGATAGATCCAGTCCCATCTCGACTTTGAGATGGAGGAAACGACCGGGGGTAGCGATGACAATATCGGGATTCGTCGTCATGAGGCCGAACTGCTCTTCCAAGCTGTCACCACCAACGAGTAGCACCGTCTTGAGGTCCGTTCCGCGGCCGAGTTCCTTGACAACCTTCAAGGTCTGGATAGCGAGTTCACGAGACGGAGACATGATCAACGCACGGGCACCGACTTTGACGCTATGGGATTTTAACCGCTCGATCATGGGGATAACAAAGGCGGCGGTCTTTCCGGAACCGGTCCTGGCCATGCCGACGACATCTTTCCGCGAGAGGATTAGGGGTATCGTTTTACGCTGAATCGGGGTGGGTACTGTGAAGCCTTTCCTCGCAATCGCCCGCAGGATATTTCCATTGAGGCCTAGACATAAAGTAGGTTAGCCAAGAACATGCACGCTCTTATTGAAAGTCGTAAAAGGTATGAGAACGGAGATTCGCACCCATAGCTTGGAAACCGCCCCCCTTCTTCACCGACTTTCCCTTCAAATTCGAAGCCTTCCGGAAGGAAGCGGCCTGCTGCAACGCAATGAAAGCCTCGTCATCGTCATCGGATCCGTCTCCCCCATTAAAGATTCCGTCCGCATCGAAGCCGAAGCCATCCTGCTCGGCGGATTTGTCCAGCTTCAGCGAATCATCAAGATCCTCGGCGAAAAGCGCGCCGCCAATATCGACCTCATTCTCCGAAAGGGCCGGAGAGGCTGCTCGCCGGACCATTTTTGAAGTTTGGGGAGGCGGAGGCGATCAAGTCTGTCGGTGAGTTGACTTGTTGCCAATGAGTGAGTGTGGTGGTGGGGGAAGGTTGGCAAGTGTTCCAGCCAAATTTTTTTTTCTAGGCTCGCGGCGTTGCTTCGTTATCGATAAGAGAATCAATGTTCCACGTCTCACCGCCCTGCCCCACTTCTCCAATGCCGCCTCGAGCTTCAGATTCCCCAACGTCACTCATTCTCAGTCTCACTCTTCAATTCACTCTTCAACCAGCTGCATCTCAACTGTCCAAGATTCCCAACACAGCATCGAATCAGTCTTTATCCAGTCGCTTTACCACTCTTACGCAGACTTTTCACTCGCCTCAAAATCTCGAAAGAGAGTCTCATTTCCGAAACAATCGTCCTCATTCAACGGTCCTAAAGACAACCGCCGCCATGGGTGAAGACGAGAAGGATGCCCTCGACGCCCTCGAGTCCGAGGCCAAGGAGTGGGAGAAGGACGCTGAAATCGAGCGAATCCTAAACGCATTCAGGCTAGACGCGTATGCATCCCTCCTCCCTTCCAATCGCCGTCTATATTCACCTTTCCCAAGCGCTCTCTCTCATTCAAAGCTAACAACCAAAACAGCTACGCAGTCCTCGACCTAAACCCAGGCGTTCCCGAATCCGACATAAAAGTAACCTACCGCAAAAAATCCCTCCTAATCCACCCCGACAAAACCCGCAACCCCCGCGCGCCCGACGCCTTCGACCGCCTCCGCAAAGCCCAAACGGAGCTCATGGACGAGAAGCACCGCGCCCGCCTCGACGAGTCCATCGCCGACGCGCGCATGCTCCTGATCCGCGAGAACAAGTGGACGGTGGACAGCGAAGAGCTCAAGACGCCCGAGTTCGCCAAGATGTGGCGGGCTAAAGCGCGCGAGGTGCTCATCGAGGATGAGCACAGGCGGAGGAGGCTCATGAAGGCCATGATGCAGGAGGAGGGCAGGGAGCAGAAGAGGCAGGAGGAGGAGGTGGAGGAGAGGAAGAGGAAGAGGCAGCATGAGCAGGATTGGGAGGCGACGAGGGATCAGAGGATTGATAGCTGGAGACAGTTTCAGAAGGGGAAGTCGGGTGGGGAGAAGAAGAAGAAGAAGATGAAGCCGATTGGGTAGATAATTGGAGTTTTCGGTCTGTTGGGATTGGAGGGCGGCGGGTTGTGGTGTAAATTTACTGACGGATTGGTACGGAATGGACATGACGAGTCTCTTGTCAAGCAAGGTACGAACTTTATGCTATAATACGGATTTACATATTAAGATTCCTTTTGCGAGTATGGTGCAAGGTCGTCTAGTTCCAAATGCGTGTCTTTTGTTCTATCCACATAGCATCGTTGCTCCTATTCAAAGTGCAATCCGTAACTTTTGTTTTCAGACCCAGCTCCTCACCCTATGCCCATGCAACAACATCCAGTAAAACAAAATTCATGTCGGCCCGTATCTTCCATATTTTCCATATCCTCTATCCCCTGGCAGAAGGATCAGGACGGTCGATGCTTCTTCTTATATTGTACGAAGCGCTCGAGGTTCATGACGACCTCTTCAGCCCTATCCCGCAACTCCTTCAATCTCGGCTCGTTCTTATGGATACCCTTTAGCATCTTCCTCGTCTTCGGGAGAGCTTCCTCCAGGTGTTTTAGGAAGTTATCCTTCCAAAAGACTTCGTCACAAGCTAACTCCTCATCGCCATAGATATCAAAGACCTGATTAAGCGCCTCGACCACCTCCGCAGGCGCAGTCTCGGGAAGGAAAGAGATGGTGGTGAGGAGAAACGTGCCAATATCGCGATTAAGAGGTAGAGGCGCAGGATCGCGGGCGAGCTGGCCGAGCGCGCCGATGCACTTGACGCCCAGGCTCTGGAACGGGTCCTGGGTATCAGTGGGAGCAGGCTGTCCGTTCTCAACCGTGCTGGCCATCTTCTTCGTCGCTTGATACAGCGAGATGAATTTCTGGTGTTGACCCTCTCCTATGGCCAGTTTGCCACCCAAGGCTTTGGCGACCGCCCAGGCTAAGCTCGTAACTTCGGTAGCGAGGTCGAGGTCGTTCGTGTCGGAGTCGAGGGTTTCGTTGACGACTCGGTCCCAGATTTCCTTGGCGTGGGGAGCCCAGACCTTGAACAGACCCTCGCTCTGGCCCTCAGCGAACTCCACACAGGCGAGAGACCAGGAGAGGTTGTTGAGGACGGATACTGCGTGGACTTGGATCTCGGGGGAGGGATGGGACTGCGAGGAGGGGCTTGCGAGCCTGAGGACTTGGGGGAAGGCCTTGTCGAGGAAGCTAACCAGGGTAGGAAGGTCGTCGATACCAGAGTCCTCTTCGTCCGCACCGGTCACCAGGTCCATATCTTCCGCCATCTCGTCATCGTCCATCTCGCTGTCGGACTCATCTATATCTGAGGGCATATCATCATCGTCGTCCATGACGTCATCTCCCATCTCCTCGTCTTCCTGTGCACCACGATGACCGCGGGGTTTGCCCCTGCCCCTGCCCCTACCCTTACCCTTACTCGGGCCAGCCAACTTTCCGCCTGTCAGAGTATCTTGCACCCCACTCGCAATGGAAGCCAGTATCTCCAACGCCAACGAAGCAATTTCGTCAGGCGCAACCCATTCTCCGGTTCGGTTAGCAGCATTCCCCGGCTTATAGTCCTGTATCGTTCGCGCCAGTCGTCGGATAAGAATCTCATCTGTCGCTCCGCCCTTGCCGGGGCTGTTGTCGTTCCATTCCAGCGCGGCAAAGACGTTGTGCAGCACACCACAGACCAGCACAGAGGTCGAGCCATCAAGGTTTTTGAGCCTCGTAAGCAGGTCGAACGCTGGCGAGGAGGCAAGCGCTTCGGCTAGTGGCGGGTTGTCTTCGGTGAGGGTCATGGCGCAGGAGAGGCATTCGTCTAGGGTGTCGGCGTCGATGATTTCCCTCGCCAAGAGGCTCAGGACGAAATTTGTGATGTTTTTGTTGTTGGTAATGGCCTCGAGAATGTCATCTTGAGCTTCGCCGAGGGCGCCTAGAAGGGAGCAGATGGAGGTCGCAATCTTCCATACTATGGCTTGCTGGGCTTTGGTTGTCCGCTCGAAGGGAACCTCGGTGGATTCGAGAGTTTCGGATAGCTACAGAACCGGGATTCGAGTTAGTGAGCCGGCGCATAGCAGTCAATTGGAAAAGGAAGAAACGGGGCAAAGCGGGTATTTGCAGGGAAAAGAAGTAACTGACAGTTCCAACGGCAAATTCAATAGCAGGCAAAATCTCCTGCCTATACAAGTGAATACAGAAGCCAGAATCCTCCTTCTCGGCAACACTCTTAATGATGTCCCAGCCGGTGGCCCTCACTTCAGGGTTCGAGTCCGCCAGCGATTCCTTCAGAAGCAAGCGCAACAGCTGCTCGCGAAGTAAGAGTCTCCTGCACTTGTCGTCGCCAAGGAGGCCAAAGATGGCATTCGCGGCAGTGGCCCTAGCTCGCGGGTCTGAGTTTCGGAGCTCTGCGAGGACAGGAAGGATCTTTTGTTCGCGGAGGGCCGCGAGCTCGGGGTCGGAGGGTGGTTTCGAGGGCGCGGCAAGGGGGTCGGCGTTGTCGCGCACGCGGACTCTGTTCCTCCTGGCTTTGCCCATTGTGAGGGATCTCGTGCGGTTGGGGGGTCAACTCTGGTATTGAGAATGGAAGAGACGAGCGAAGGAGAGGTAGTGTTATTCGAATTCGAATTCGAACTGGGAATAGATTTTGGGTATGAAGGGAACTCGAATTTAATTTTTACAACGGACCCGACCTAGGACTGGAATGTTGTGAGAAAGCCAAAAGTCTGGCGTGTAAATGGGTCGGTCGCAAGTGGTCCTGTTGCCCTCGTTGCCATGGGACATTTTTTTTTTTTTTTTTTTTTTTTTTTTTTTTTTTGGCGGGGTCCTTCATCCTTCCTGGTTAAAGCTGATGCCCCGCGTCTTAGTGGCACTGACCAGTGAAAAACGTCGCTCTTGCCGTTGCATTGTGCTCCGTTAAGCCCCACCTGGTTTTTAGCTTGAGGTACCAAAAGTATGAAACGGGTACCAAAATCCGTCCTCACGAGTGTTCTCTGTATACAATTAGACTAACTGAACGTCATGACAGCTTGTGACGATTGATCTTAGCACCAAGCTCGAATTGATCACCAACAATTGATCTCGAGCTGTCCGCATAGTCCCACCCCAGCTTCAACTAGCGAGGACTCGACCTCGGGCATCCCAATGTCCCGCAAATTTCTTTGCTTTTTCCGTGATTGAGTTGAGCGACTCAGACATTCGCTCCAGGCCTCAAATGAAGCTGACTAAATGACCGCGACGGAACACCCCAACCCCGATTTTCGACATATTCCCATCCCTCTTCCACCTTCGACCCGACCTTTGCACTTCCTCTCCCTCATCAAGATGGCGCCTCAATGGCGTCGGTGGTTCTTCGCCCCCACAGACGAGGAAATGGGGAAGAAGGACGACGACAGGAAGCCAAGCTCGAGAAGCACGTGGGTACCCACCTCAAGACTCACCCCTCGACGATCAGTGGCGCGTCGCCTCGTTCCTTTGCTCGCCATTATCGCGATATTCTATCTTTGCATGGACTGGATTCGACCCCAACCTTCGGTCCCGAAAGAGTACAACCCGATATTTCCCAAGTACGACGGCTCTAGTGCGTCCTCCGGGAATCGGCCGTGGGCGAACCTCTACCCTCCCGCCCGGTCTCCTCCTAAATCGCCGCCGAATCAAGAGAAGGGCAGGTCGCGATCCGGCCAACCCCCTGCGCGAAAATTTAACGGTGATTTCACACTTGTACCCCTTGCGCGGAGCCTCAGAGAGATATCCATTACTGGCGGAAATCACAAGTACAATAGGAATGTACTCTTCGTCTCGTCCAGTGCGAAGAGCGCTGCTGCACTGCTGCCATTAGCGTGCGAGATGGCGAGGGAGAGACGGAGTTATGTGCACTATGCGATCATGAATAGAAGTGAAAAGCCTTTGAGGGAGCTTCTGCGTTTGAATGGTGTTGACGAGTCGTGTGGGATCCTCTTTCATGGTACGATGGTGCTTGCTTCTCATCTCCGCCAGTAGATTTGCCGGAACTAATGTGTGAGCGCATTTAGATGCCCGGCCTGATCGCGCTGCCGAATCCGCTGATTTACGAGTGAAAATGGCATCTGAGAGGGCGTTTTGTAAGTTTGCTGTTTGTTGTTGTCCGCCGCGCTTGACTACTCTGTTACTCATGCGATTGTAGTCTACCTCGAAACCTATATTCACCCCCAAGCTGTTATTGTGGACGGTACTGATACCGAGGAGGCTACTTTCTTGGAAGCTCTACATGCGTATTTCGAGAAGAGCGAGCAGTCCATCATCGAACTTCACCACAACGGAGCTCAGCGGTTAGGATGGCTTGCGAAGCTCGATAGCGCATCCCTCTCAGGTGTGTCTAATCGCGTAAATAGGCACTATTCTTGCTAACAGCATCCTTCGTAGCTTGGAGCAAGGTGAATTTCGAAATCGTCATTCACGCGCCTATGAAGGGGTCCGGGAGCTTAATCCGTCTCTTGAAATCCTTGTCTGATGCTGATCTCACGCCCTTCCCCACACCTCGTCTCACTCTCGAACTCCCCCACGAGATCGAGGAGGCAACATCTGCCTTCCTCGAGGGCTTCTTGTGGCCAACCAGAAGAGGAAGCGCCACCTCGACTCCCCAGATGCTCTCCCTCCGTCGCCGCTTGCCCCTTCACAGGATGGATGAGCAAAAGAGCGTTGAGAGGTTCCTGGAATCGACGTGGCCCAAAGCCCCTGAGTTTTCGCATGTTCTTGTCCTCTCCACGCAGGCCGAGTTATCACGTCACTTTGCCCATTGTGCGTTATTCCTCGTTCCACGAAACCTGACTTGGGGCGCATGAGCTCATCGCTAACCTCTTTTCACAGACCTGAAATATGCCCTTCTCGAGTACCGATACTCAGCTGCCGCCCGCCGGCAAAGGTGGGACGAAAGACTTGTCGGAATAAGCCTCGACTTCCCTTCGACTTACCTGAACGCATCAGACCCATTTGCTCTACCCAACCTCGCCTCTGATTCCAAGCTCTCATCCCAAGATGAAACCCCTTTCCTATGGCAAGCGCCCAGCAGCAATGCCATGCTCATCCTCGGCGACAAATGGGCCGAACTCCACAACTTCGTCGCCTACTCCCAAGAAGCCCTCCAAACGTCACCAAAACCCTCCCCGCTCCTAAGCGAAAAGCTAGTCAGCAAAGCCTTCCCCGCGTGGGTAGAACGCCTTCTCCAACTCTCCCGCCTCCGCGGCTACTTTACGCTCTACCCCAGCGCCGAAACGGCATCCGCCCTCGCCGTCATCCACGAGGACCTCGCGCAGCTCCCCGAGGAGTACTCGGCCGACAAGGACGCGGCGGGGCTCGACGCGCAGAAAACCCAAGCTCAACGGCGCAAAGAACCGGCGCTGGTAGTATCTCACTCTGCTCTCGATGCGCTGCGTACGTTGCCTGATGGCGGCGTGTTACCACCGTTCGGTGAGCTGCCGCTTTTGGGATGGGAGGGGGAGAGGCGGTCGCTGGAGGAGTTGGATGATGAGGCGAAGGGGTATGCGAGCGATTTTAGACGGGATGTTGGGAGGTGTACGGGTAAGGATGTTGAGAGGGTTAGGGCTGATACTTCGGCGAAGGATTTGTTCTGTTGGGTGAAGTGAGTGGGGTATGAAAGGTTGTGTTATTTCCTTTGCGTTGGACTGTCGAGTGTAATATTTAAATCTGTAATATGGGGATAGCAGTGTTTTTGTTTTTTTTTGTTTCTTAAACCTGTCGGGATCAGGGAAAGGTTCCCTTATTTTAAGGCGTCATATGGTGTTGAATTAGGGGTTGCGGAATTTAATTTTTAAGCCGTAATATCAATGATCATGATAGTTCATACTCATGCCCACTGCCTAGTCTCACCTATGCCCAATTAACAACATTGAAGTCCCATCCATTACCATGAAAAATTCCAAGAGAAAAATACACCGCATCCCTCGCAAGGGAGAAGCCGCAGCTTGATACGCCGCAAAATGCAACAGAAAGGAGAAACCAGGCTTAAGTTCACAGCGTTGGCTGCACCCACGAGAGAAGCTGCCGATACGAAGAAGCATGGCCGCCGGAGACCTTGGTGACGACAAGCAGTACGACACAGGTGCCCACGATGCATACAGAGACAATACCCAGAACCTGGGCGATCACCAATAACCGTTAGATCGCCCGTCCAGAAATGACAAAGGGGAGGAACAGGAGGCTTACGATTTGCGTTTTCCAGCCGGTTTGGACGAGGGCTGCTCTGCGGCTATATTTGTTCACGGTAGCTGCTCATCGGTTAGCTCCCATGAATATTCCCCCGGAAGGGCCGAGGTGGGCTTCGATTGATCTAGGACTGAAATATGAAAGATCGAAAAACGTTAAAAGAACTCACTGATGTAGTTCCCCAGACCCAGGCTCAAACAGCAAAGCGAAAGAAACCAGAACACGATACCCAGTGGTTTCGCCATCCGCAGCTCAATAGTGCTCGGTTGAGTCTTCAGGTGGAACGAGAGCACGATGGCATTGGACACAATGGCCATGTAGACCGATAGCCGGAGGTATGATAGGAAGGCTAGCAAACCAAGGTTTTGGGTTAGGACGTCTCGGCCGAAATGTCTCGGCTTTCCTCTAAATCATGGGAAAGCGGGTTCAAGGGAGAGAGGCTGGAAGGCGACAACTCACTTCGCTCATTCGCACAATGATCCCGCGCATCGCTGCTCTCGTTCTGGAAGAGAAGCGGTCCAAGGAATGGAGAAGCCCAAAACGTCGCAGTGCCGCTATACCCTCGTTCCCTGCTCATCAATTAGCTTTCTGTTCGCCAATTGGCATTGAAAAATCCCCACCCCCTTCCAACATCATGATCCCTTCTCGAGGATGAGAACAAAGCGAAACCTTCGCTCTCAACAAGCCCGGAATTCTCAACTGGAAAGACAGAAGAATGAAAATTGTACTCTACATACCCCAAAGCAGGTACGTCAACCGGCTTCCGTAGATCTTCCCACCGGATCGGCGCACAGCACCCGGTCGCGTCCTCAGCGTCGTACAAGTCGTGCTCCGTCGCGGATGTAGAAGCTGTTGTCATCGACGCCATTTTGCTTTTTTTTTTTTTTTTTTTCTCTATTCCCTCTCGGGAATCTGCGATCTGGAATGGTCTCTCCTTTATGCCGCAAAGATAGAGAGAGTGTGTGTATATGAGGGGGAATTTTCAACTTGTCCTGCGCAGTTGAGCCTTGATGGGAAGGAAAATGGGAAGAAAGCAAATCGGCGTCGCTTCGCTCGCTTAATCTGATCAATTGATGTTCGCGGCTTCAAAGGTGGGGCAATGGCACGAGACGGATGAGAGATCAGAAACAGTGCATTTTAATGCATCGAACTGTGCGGTGGAACACGCCTCCGCCAAATCTTGCAAAGATGATGTCCAGGCCTACAGTGTGTGAATTATTCCCGGAGCTGAATCTACGAGTATTGATGATGATCTCTGGGCAGTGGCGCAAATGGCGCAATCCACCAATTGATGCAATGATTCTTCCCTCTCCTCCAAACACCAACCCCCCAACCAAGCACATGCAAGGTTGGTATAGCTTCATCGCTTCAAAGCCATGCCCTGGCTCTCTAGCATCGTTCAAATACCCGATACAATCCCTTAAGATCCGCAACCTCCATAACTCCAGAATTCATCAACCCCTTCGTAGCCACCAGCCTTGCCTTAAACGCCGGAAACAAAATATGCTCCACCGCCCATCGGACATTCCTCCTCCGCTCTTTAATCCCCTCGTCGACATCCTCTTCCTTTGCTGACTCGTCATCCCCGGGAAGCTGCGGAAGCTGTTCAGGCACGTAAAACGTCGCCAGCTCGCGCAGAAACGACTCGAAGCACGGCTTCTCCTCCAGCCAGTTCACGGCGGGGCCGAGCCGCAGTAGGAAACGCGGCAGCTTGACGAGCGGCGGCGTGTACCCCTTCAAAAGAAGAGGTATGGATATGAGCTCGCCGGCCGGCGACACCTCGAGGGAGAAATACTCGGAGAGCATTTCCCGTCTTTCGACGAGCTGTTCCGTGGCCTTTCCAACGAGGGCATCGACGTCGAAGTCGTTTTGTCCCGTGGGGTCCGTTTTCTTCTCTGTTTCGGCCGCCATTCTCAATGTTGTCCGAAGATCTAGCGGTGGCGTGAAACGAATGGTTCCAAAGTTGCCAAAATCCGTAAGGCCGAGCTGGTAAAAGTATTCGTAGCAGGCGTGGCCGTAGTCGATAAGGTAGAGCTTGATCCCGCCTTGAATCGCAGCTAATCTCCGCCTCTCGTCCACGATGCCAATGAAACTGTGGTTGGAGAATATGTCTGTGAGCTCGTGATGCATCTCATCTCGGACTTCGGCCCTGAGCTCCTTGACACTCGTGAGTCGACAGGTAACAGGCTGTCTATCCACTGTCTCGTAGCTGATATCTTCTGGGAAGGAGGCGGTAAGAGTGTCCTTAGCATCTCGTCCCGCCTGGTTATCCCCTGTCCTGTCGGTAGCCACGGCCGATGCAGACGGAAACATCGTTGTGATTTTCCGAACGCTTGTATCAGTGCGTACAAGCTCGTTCGAGTTTCTTCGTCTCTTACTCCCACTTAGCCCTGGTGTTTGGCGCGTAGGAGTTGCATCGCCACCATCGGGCTGGGGTGAGATGGTCGTCACCTTCACTCCCGGGAGCAACGTCTGTGTCATAAAAGTCCGGCTCTTATCAACCGCTGCTAGCTTAGAGCTAATATCCTCGCAAATAGTTCGCACGATCTCATCTTCGTGCTCAAACTTGACATGTCGTTTCGTTGGGTGGACATTGACATCAACGCTATGGGGATTTATCTCGAGGCTCAGATAAACAAAAGGGTGGCCGTTCTTGGGGAGAAAGTTCCTATACATCTCCTCAAGAGACTTTTTGATATCGCCCGACTCGACGCAGCGGTGGTTGACGAAAAGGAGTAGCGTCATTTTCTTGTGGCTGTAATTAGCATTGGTAGCATAGCCGGTTGCCTTGAATCCCCAGCGCGGGTCTGCGCTCGTAAACTCGATAAGTTCGTTCGCCACATCAGATCCGTGAATCTGGCGGATACGGTCCACGGTAGTGGCATTCCCCGACACCGACAGGCCGACGGAGGCGTCGCCAGCCTTCTTGCACGAAAAGGCCACTTTGTCGCAGTGGATGGCGTATCTTCCCACCATATCCATGATCTTTGCAAATTCTTCGCCCGGGGAGCGGAAGGCCTTTCGGCGGATGGGAATGTTGAAGAACAGGTCCTCGACTTTGATCTGGGTGCCTTGCCTCCCGGCGGTGGATTTTGGTTCGGCAGGCATGCCCGGCTTTTGCGGCACCATCTTGCCTTCTAAATACTTCGCTTGCCAAGCGACAGGAGAATCTTTTGTCTTCGTCGTTACTGATAAGTGGGCGATTTGGCTGATACTTGCTAATGCCTCGCCCCGAAATCCGTACGTCGTAATCTCCCTCAGGTCTTCGAAAGCGGAGAGCTTGCTCGTAGTATGCCTTTCACAGAGAATGGCTAAATCGTCTTTCTGGAAGAGGCGTCTTGTTAGTGGCCGGCTCACCTACCAAGGTGAAATATACTCAGCTACGAGCCAAAGTGCACATACCTCAATACCGCTGCCATTATCCGTGATCTGAAGCAATTTCAAACCGCCGTCTTTTACAAGGATCTCGAGACTCGTCGCGCCTGCGTCGACAGAGTTTTCCATTAGCTCTTTCAAAGCATTGACGGGAGCGATGATGATCTCGCCCGCCGCGATTTTGTTGACGACAGACTCTGCGAGAGCCTAGATGATGCGATGTTAGCGGCTAGAAGAGAAGAGAGAGCGAGGGGATAAGAGAAAGCCAAAAAAAAAAAAAAAAAAAAAAAAAAAAAAAAATACCTTGATGCGGCGAGGGGGTCGCTGTCCATCACCAGAGTCCTCTGCTTTCCTTTTTGCCCCCGAGAGGGAGTCGTCTATTTGCATCGAAGTCATCACTGCGTGAGGGAGACCACGTCGATAGCAATAGCGAAAGCTACTAGGCCTTACGGGGGAGATGCTCTACCCCTGCCACAGGAGGCTCACGTCCCAAACAAGCAATCCTCTACGAAGTGGGACTGTTGAAGTCGAAATCGTCTGGATAATGAGGATCTTTTGCTTCTCAGTAGATTTATGCTTCTAACATGTGTGATTCCCTCTGATGGGATGGATGGTGAGGCTGAAAACAATATTGTGAGGTACTGGTTGCCTCGAGCTCTTCATCGACTTTCCAGGCTTTCAGTCGCCGCAACTCATATCTCGCGGACGCGCAAGGCAAGATAACGCGAGGTCACGTGATATTCCCCACACCAGAGCCGGACCCGAGGCTGGCTGTTGGAAAAAAAAAAAAAAAAAAAAAAAAAAAAAAAAGGCGAACCATCCAGAGTAAGACGGAATAATATTGGGGAAGGACTGGACTGGACATGGTTCGTCCATCGCCCATCGGATCAGATGGGATTGTAAACTATGAAGTACTGGAAAAAGGGTCACGTTCTAACAAAGCCCTGGTGCATATGAAGGTGGCTTGGCGAAGGAGAAGAGAAGGTCCCCACACTTGACCAATGACGATTCACACGAGTTTCGCTAGAGTTTTAAAGCTCGGGAACCCAGCTCCATCCAAACGACATTGATATTTGATAGGAGATGAATGCCCTTTAGTAGTGTTAATTGGAAGAAGATTATTTGAGCTTCGAAAACCCGTCGCTTCGTAGTGTTTCTATAATTTGATAATTGGACATCGGAGAAAAGTTCAGATCGGAAATCGACATTCCTTTAAACAACAGGTTCGATTTACGTTTTGTGAGCGACAATTTTTTGGATCCTTTTTTTGCTTCGGGACGGTGGGGGGTAGGGAAGGTTCCCCCTCCTTGCGGTGCACCCCCCTTGCCCCTCGGCGTACTCGGCTTCCTTTCTGAGCCTTGAGCTCTTTTTTTGTTTCGCAGGTTGCGCACTTCATCCGTACCTGTACCTCATAGTTCCATGGGATTTCCCTTAGAGCTCCTGCGGTCTGCAAGTAGTCCCAAAGTAGTGTGTACATTAAGCCTTTCGGCTCTCGAGGCTCACGGGAATCCCAGTCGTACGGAGTGATCCATGGAGATTGATCGAAATGCAAGCCCGACAGTCTCCATGGAGAGTTGCCTTCACTCTAAAGAGCGCTCGACTCTAGAATATAAATTCCCGCCTTGGACCCTCAACTTCCTATTATACGTTATCCAAATTACTCCATCCTTGCATTGCCTTCCAAGAAAAAGAAATACCACATTGCATCCCTTTATCAACTTCTCATTTCCAAAAGGGATGGCCCTCGCGTCTTACACCACCGCAAATGAGACGGTGGAAATCGTCGACGAGTCTTGCTCTATGGTTGGCGAACCCGCAACATCAACAAGGTAAGGACACGGGCAATACATAAAACTAACCCCGTCTGACACCAGACTATTCAAAAGAATAAGGTCTAACCTCTCTCAAAAATTTAAACTAGGGCTCCATCTCCCGCCCTTTCATCTCCAACCCAAACCCACCGGGTTTCTAGCATCTCGAATGTATCCGCCAGCTTCACGACCATGGACACCGAACACCTCACCCAAACCCAGTCAGGAACAGCCGCCGGTGATGAAATAGTCGATCACAGCAGCTTGCTTGGCTCTGTACTCTTTCTTCAGCCCAGCAGTCCCCAAGGCCACATTGAATCTGGGGACCCAAGTGCTGCCATCGCCACAATCCTACCCCTTCCCGAATTGGACGACAGCTCTTATGTCTTGAGGGACTTGGCAATCGAGCCCCCACGTTTGGCAAGCCCCGCCGCTGTGGTTGGCGGCTCCACATTTCCCGCCATGTCCCCGGACAACCTAAATTTGGAGCTTGAGCTCCTGCTCCACGACTTCCACACCAATCCGGCTGAGTCAACTGACAATCACGTCTCGATGTCGGGAGCTCCTCCCTCGCAGAATGGTCACGGAGACCCCACAACTATCATCAAGAGAGGTAAATAAAATTTACCGAACCGATGCACCCAGGTTTAAGGCCCTAGGCTCACGGATGATTGATGTTGCGCGTTTGAGTTTGAATGTTTGTTTTCAAGAAAAACAAAACGGGAAAAAAAAGGGGAGAAAAAAAGAAAAAGAATAAAAAAGGAAGGATTTCTGTTTTCCTGGCCCCCAATTTCGATTCGAAGTTGCTTGTTTCCTTTTCGAGAAACATCCCTTTGCATACCGTAGCTGTCACGGATGCCAACACCAAGCAGAAGAAGTGGTGCAGGGGAATCTTCGCTTCAATGTAACAGCACAGCCTTAAGCTGTTTGACTTTTCTCGCTCACTCAGTTCTAATTCCATCCCACGTCGAATATATAAATCATGCGCGTTCTGATTGCCCAGCCCCCACGCATGCTCCATCCCCCACGTGTAAACTTACTCTCCTTGCCTCGCGCTTTTCAGCCCTTCCCTCCATCTCACCAGTATTATACAAGGTAACAAGTGCCACTTCATCCACTTTCGAACCTCATCCTACACACCTTGCGTCTATGCTCATGCCACCTCTGCGTCCAATTGCCTAAGATGGAGGTTCTGGAACCCGACCAAATGAGTTTGAACACCTACAGTAGCCGACGGAAACCCTCATCCCGGTTAAGGGGTTGCTGATTATACGAAACCCCCAATATAAATAATCATATTGGGGGCTGTAGACTGTTTCGCACGGGATGTAAGCGTTAGATAGGGCTGCACTGTGGGGGAATCTAAAAGCCATCGAGCAATGTCATGATGCAAATCGATCAAAATTGCTCCTTCCTCAGACCGGCGTAAGGTATCAATTAAGGCAGTGCCTAATACTAAGAGACGATGAAAAAAATTCTAAATACAACCTTGGTCCAGACTTTGGATGAGAAGCGCTCTCCCCCCTAGCGCTGCTCGCCTTGTCAAAGTGTTGAGAGTGGGGGAAACCGGGGAGCAAACCATAAAGGACGCGTACAAGTTAGTAGAATACAAGGGAACTCGATGACCCCCTCACCGAGAACTGATGACCCCCCTCATCACAGAAAGCTGATGACCCCCCTCATCACGGAAAGTTGATGACCCCCCTCATCACAGAAAGCTGATGACGCCCCTCATCACAGAAAGCGGATGACCCCCCTCATCGAAAAACAAAGCCGACACCTCTCAACACAAGTCAACTTCCTCAACTAGCCGACCCCTGCTCCGCTGCATGCATCTTCGCCAGCCACTTGGGCATCTCTGCAAACTTCTCCTCAAAGCTCTTTCCGAACTTCTCCGCCTCGCTGTACAACGGATGTCCTTCCTTCCAATAGGTCTTGCAGTTCTCGACAATCAAACGTACATCCTCGGCGAACTCGCCCGCCGCAGAGTACATCTGTCTGTCCATCTTAGACTTGATGGTCATGAGGTCCATTGGCTTCTCAATCTTTTCAAGGTAGTCCGGTACCCCGTCGACGATGGGATCGACGGGCTGTCGAAACGGCTTGACCAGTCGAGTCCAATAGCCTGTGGTGTTTCCCAAGTCAGTTCCTCTTTCGTAGTATTAAACAAGAAACGCGGGGGAGGAAGAGCAACGTACCTGGGCCGGAAAGCATGCGGCTTAGCAAGTCAGAGCAAAAGTCTACCTTTTGCGCATCGCTGAATGAGCTGTCGCTCACCACAGCACTGCTAACTCGCCTATTGGCGGCCGGGTTCTTGGCGGAGCCAGGCAATGACCTGCGCGGCGCGCCACCCGTGCCAGCGCCTCCTGTGCTGCGCGAAGACTGTGGCAAAGGAATGGTGGCGGGTCCGGACGCTCGCCGATTCTTCTTTGAGGATCTAGCGTTCTCATCTTCACTTCCACCTTCTTCCTCGAGGTGATGCGCGTTCCTCTTTGAACCAGCCGCAGCGGAAGATAGAGCGTTGCGTACCGTCCCCAGCGAAGCCGGTCCATCTGTGCCAGCTGCAGAGTTCCCGCTACCATCGCCCGCAGCACCAACTGGAGCAGGGGCGCTAATAGCACTCATTTCCACGACCAGCTCGCATAAGAACTCCTGAGGAAGACTCTTTGCAAACTCAGCTGGGGCATCAGAGGACTGAAAATACTCTTCGGCCCATTGGAGGAAGAGTCGGCGGATTTGTGTCCCTTCGTCCGTCTCCTTCCAAACCTTTGAAATCAAACTAGCACCTGGAATATGCCTGGTCCTTTGCTTCACCTCCTCCATGCATTCCAGTGTCTTGCTACATAGTCCCTCCACTTCGTACTTTATTCCCAGCTGCCACAGGGCGAAGAGGTCTTCATAACTGGGAACGCTGCCATCGTCCGGCCACACCTCTTGGGTATATATGAAATTTTGCGCAAGGCCAAACACGCTTGCCGTGGCCTCGGGGATTTTGACGACGTGTTCGACCGAGTTTTCGGGTGTGTTCTCGAACTGTCGTCTGAAGTAGCTTGATACGGCACAGAGAAGGTCCTTTTGCAGACCAAATGGAATCTCATCTAAGCCCACCATTACGACAACGAATATCGCATGCGGTTGGCTTGAACGATATGTCAGAATCAGAGCATGACAGCAAGGGGAAGTGATGAGCTTACAGCCATGAAAATGAAGGTCTACCAGCTTTCGAGCTGTCTTCACCCGAATGGGCTGCAGCGTGTCCATTAACTCTGGTCGCCATCCTTGTGAATTATAAGTTGATGAAATATATCGAGGTTCTCGCTCTTGGAAATTGAGGTTCTATCAGCTTGGGGAATGAGAAATATCAGTCCAGTGTTCTCCCACGAAGTGAATTGGTGATGAAAAAGAACTTGGGTCGAAGGTTAAGAAAATATGGCAAAAAAGTCACGAACGACTGACACAACTCAGAGTGAGACTTGCTCCAGTCGAGGAGTATGGGGGCTCGTCCCGTTTCTTTCAAGGAAGAGCGAAGATGGGTGAGAGTTGGGGATGAGTGAGTGACAAGGCCCTGCAATGTCGGTTCGAGGAGCTGGGACAGGATCGAGGAACTGGGACGGGATCGAGTTCGGGTGCTAATTATAGCACTTCTGACTAGGGCTTGCAATTTTGATTGTCCTGTAAGTGAGTATGTCCCATAACCGAAAATCAAAGGATATGATGCGGTTCAAATGTTCCCGAGCACAGCTCAAAGGAAATCCCTTCGTTGGTTTCAGGAGACACTGCCTTTTACTCACCACAGCACTTGGAAATGCTGATGAATGAGAGGGAATGAAATGGCAATGACTTTTCCTTTAATTGAAGCTCGGAATTGGTGAGATCTGATGGGGGAAATCTCAGGTGTAGGTCAAATTAATGAAGATATGGGAAATGGGATATATGTTCTCTCTTCATCATGGAGCTGATGAAATGAGATGATCTTGTCTGGCAATCTGACCATTTTGGGATGTGGTCTGTGCGCCCAGGATGCTGATGCACCATGTACTTCGTACCTTTGTACCACCTGTCAGTCTGCTCCAGGCTTGTGTGTGGCTGGTGGGTTACTTGCCACAAGCTTGTCTCAAGCCACATTCTACTCCTGCTCTACTTGAACCGACATGGAGAAGACCTGAAGATGGCTTCTCATGGCAGCGCAGTGCCCCCTACCGAAATCGTCCAGATTCTGGCTTGATTCAGAGGATGCGGCTTCCTCGGCTTCGTGATGTTCCCCATCTACCCACCTTCCCTGTGAAGACTCTGGGCCGATCATGAAAGTCCAAGGGCAGCCACATGGGGGCCCTGCCTGATGAGGATGAATCCGGCTCTCTACTCTTCCCACTATAAAAAGGGCCACCCACTTCCAAACCAAGACACATCCCAGGCATCCTAACTAACTATTTCCAAAGTACGGCTATCTTGGGTTACTGCCTCACTCGATCTTATGGCCTCCAAACCATTGCGGTGGGGCTGTTTGGTCGGGGGCGTAGGGGGCGCTATGGCCTCGTATTCGCACCTCATCCTTGAGCAGCTCGGTATCATCAATCCTGACGATAACATGTATTCTCCTGGTTGGATCGACAGTATTTCTGTTCAACAAGCATGGGATGAATTTCGTCGCGACTTCCTAAATCGCTACTACGACCCCGATGAACTAGTTGACTTTGATGAACCTCTCAAATCCGACGTAGTCAACGATGTCATAGCCGATATGACGACTTGGTCTCCGGCACTCGACTCACACGATTATCCTGATAAGGATGACTGGGATGAATTCGATCACTGCAAGCACTTTGTCGTTGCCATCCTCCTTGACGGCCTTAGCTCAGAGCTCCAGACTTGGACCTACGCCGAACTCTGGGAGGATCCGAAGAAAATCGTCGAGGCCCTGTTCGAGCTTCTGAATTTCCTAATCCTTTCAGACCGAGTGTCGATGATGGACTGAAAAATGTCGATCGCTCCCCAACCAAATAAGAAAGTCGAGCCGGAATTGGGCGTGTTAAATAGGGTGGATGGAAGCATGGCGGTTGACGAAGACACGGAAAGAAGAAGCATCTCGGCCAGTTGATGCCAAGTTATACGCTAAGGAGAGGCGTGATATAATCGTAAAGAACAAGGAACTAGATATTCAATCAAACACCTCGTTTTGCTCACATCCGACCTTCATTCGTTCTAACACTTCACGATGTCTAGAGCCTCGCAACGGATTGCCCTCCACGCCTGATCAAGTTGGTTTGTCATGAGCGTATGCAACCCATCAGCAACTTTCTCCTCCATCAATTGACACACGGGATGTGGTTTTCGGCCACGCAACGTCCGAACTGATCTCTATTGACACAATGCTGACCCTACGTACTGATCCGATTCTTCTTGAATAATACCGACCCGTCTTCTCACCCAAATCCTAGTGGCCTTGGAAGGGTCCCTGACATCTTAGGCCTCAAGCTTACGAGTCTTCAAGTGAGTTCGAGATGCCCATATCCCTCGACTACCATGAACGCACCCCACCTACGCTCCCTCGAATGCGGTAATGATGGAAAGCAAGATGACAGAACAACGCACTGGTCAATGAAACGTTAGCCGTGGTCCGCAAAAGGACGAGACAAACAAGTCATAGGTGGAAGACAACATCAGATGTAACGCAATCAAAGATGCCCGAGGAGACCCCGACTCTCCATTCACCACCGAGTCCCAAAAATAGACCATTTCACACGTCCGCAGAGGCAGAATTGCATATTCTCTCTAGAATCCATTCGCCTGGCCATCTCAGTCTTTACCGACCCATTTTCCACTTCTCGCTGCCAAGTCTACCCCTAACACAAGACCCCCCATCCACACCCGCTCGGCATCGACTGCCTCACAGCTTTGCCTGCACTCCCCCTCACATCCATAGTTCCTTTCTGACCCCACTCACCCTCTCAAGAGCCGAGAACTAATAGGTATGGTCTTCGCTCCTTCATCGTGGGTCACCCACACAGCGCCCGGAGTAACGTGTCCTTCATTTCCCCGCCTTAAAGCCTCTATCGAGACGACGGACGTCTGAATAAAGGCGACGAACCCGGTGAGAGATGTCGGGCGTCAGACCGATCTCCACTCCTGGTTGTCAGCGAGTTTGCCATTGAAGGAAAGGCTCGGCGTTGTTTCGTTGGAAGACAGGGCGAAACATAGACACATCCAGAGTGAACCGATCAGAGCGGGAGCCAGATAATAGACTTGGAAGCTGCCTGTATACGGAACAACTAATCCTGCACGTCAAACTGGTCTTCGTGGGGCCATCTCGGCCGTCTAACCCCCTCCCCATGTCTTCTACAGTCCTAACCACTGCCCCATCGCTCTCCTCCCACATGGAATACGTCACCCTTTGGTGATGGGTAAGAGTTCGGGAGTCGCAATATGTCCTGACTCTGCAAACCTTCCGACTTGCTCACATGTAAAGTCCCGTCTCCGGCTCGATAAGAGCTAGGAACTTTGGTATGTGGCAACAAGAGCGGAGGGTACCACAGTTTGCACCCCCGGAAGCACAACATCATGACCTCCAACAGCCCGACGTGCCCGGACCAAGGCATCTGCGCATGCTTTGGAGGGGGTTTCAGGTCTGCATGTCTACACAGCGACTAAATGCCAGGTAGCCCCGTTACTTGGGCCAACCGTTCGCCCAACGTTACGGCCATGAACCCCCAAGCCGACTGAACTGCCCAGTGCATGGACAGTTCTCCCGCAACCTTGATTGTTTACAGTGGCTATATTGTTTAATTTCTAAATTCGAAGGTTTTCTGCTCTCTTACCATCGTTAGTTACCGAAGAAATGGGTGGTTAGGGCCCCATACCTTCTTCACTCTTGTGCTAGGGCCCCTGAAAAGAGTGCTCAAGGTAATATGTCAGGAAACGTTCATGAGAGAATCCATCCGCTGAGGGCGGCCACATATCAGACCACTCTTTCATCGAGGGAAGAACATGTTTTCAGCGGGATTGAATATTCGCATCAGGCATCTTCAAAGTTCAAGTTTGTGGAGTGCAACCATAGGAGGCCCAGACCGATGTAAAAGTGGAAATTCTGCCCATATGTTGCTCTTCTCATAGACAATAGGTCACTCATACGGTTCAAGTAACCCAATATGGAAAGCACAAGCGACAGCGAGTGGATTGACCGCTCGGCTTCTCTCACAAACTTGAGAGAAAAAAACCTTCTATTTCTATAGGAACTGAGTTAGAGACTAATAGACATCGAAGACAAGTCGTCCAGAGCATCCGCGTGACTAAATGCGTGACCAGCTCAGTTCCAGAAAATGGGCCGGGAAGCAAGCAAGTCGAGACATGACAAAGTGGATAAATGGGGTAACAAACTGTTCCTCCTCTTGGTCGCGTTGGTTCCTAGGGTGGACGTACAGCCACTTGTTCTGCCGTCAACAAACCATCACGCTCCGAGTCTGAAACGTCACGATCCCGATTAACGACCCTTCATCGTGGTGGGGACTCGCAAAACAACTCTGTAGCCGTCCACTCAATACTCAGGCCTGCAGGTTCTGTGCAGTCTTCTTGGTCAGCTTGCTGATTCGGATATCCGTCTGACTTGGCACGCACGATAAGCCTCAAGGTTGGGTTGGCTGTGGCGACGGTTCCCTTCGGATGCTGCACCACTCGTGTGACAGAACAATGGGCCTTAGCCCACCGGTGGTTTGCCCGTCTTCGGGATCATATGGCTCGACCAGACACCCGATCATGTCAGTGCCTAACTTCTGCGCTGCTCGGCTCATGTGGACCAGAATTACTATCGGCAGTCCTGCTCCCGTCCCCCCATGCAATGGGGAAATGAATACATTAGCCATTCGTGCGTTCATACAGGACTGAGTCGTGATGAAACTATTTGTTATTCATCGAGGGTGGAACAAATATGAGCCCTCGTTGGGCGAGGACCTTCTCTGCAGAGTGGGTAACCGCCGATGCTCGAAAAGAAATCAGCCAGGCGCGAATTCGAGACCAGTAGAGGGTCTAATTAAAGCTGTGGAGTATCTGGGATTGCCCCAGAGAAAGACGAGCGAGAGGGTTGTGAACGTCAGGGGTATCCATGTTCAAGCACACTGCGAGAGATATCAAATACCGAAGTATATATCGACGCTGTAATCAAGAGGAGGACATCCCACAAAGAGAAATTAGTTAACTCTTAGGTGTCTGAGCTGAAAGAGTTTAAGTTCATTGTCCCTCCGAGTTCATGTGTTATATGGAGGCCGTTTAGGCAGAGAATGAGTA